AAGGCATCAATTCTTCTTCTGTCATCTTTATTCATTGTCCAGCTCTCAAATGGACAAAAAGTGACCGGAAAGACCATGGCCTGAATCAGATACACCTTAGTCCTCACATGGACATCATTATTCCTCAATAATGTAGAGAAGTTCCTAACTACACACTCTCCCAGTGCAGTTCCTGATTTCCTGACTGCTGGTACCAAGGGTGTTAATTGTGGATCCAAGTAAGATGAAGTTGTTGACAGTTTCAATTTTTTTCTCCATCTATTGGTTGTGAGGTGGTTTGTTTGGGGTTTTTTTGTTTGTTTGTTTAAGCCTCATGATTAGTGTCAACAAGACCTTGGGGAAAGCCTTTACATTTGAAAGTCAGTTATTGTATTTTGGAGGAACATTCTTCTAAGTGGTACAGCACTCTTCTGTCAATATGCTGTACTGAGGTAACCTGGGGTTCCTGTGATGTTAAACCTTGTGCCATTGGGGTGTCAAATGTCGTAATGGTTACCTATGGTGAACAGTGTTTGGTGGAGCTCCCAGTTTAAGACAGATTTGGAAGCAGGAGTGGCATCCACTTCTTAAACAACATGCCTCTGGAAACTCTATGAACTTTTATGAATGTCAATAGTTATAGAAAGGCTTCAGGCCTTTTGGTCATAGGGTCACTATGAGTTGTGCTCGACTTGATGACAATCAACAACAACAACAACATCATGATGTTGCCTGTCAGTCCAGTGGTAAGAATTTTTGTTTTCTTAACCTTGAGATACAATCCATATTGAAGGCTGTATTCTTTGATCCTTTGCAACAAGTGCTTCAAGTCCCCCTCACTTCCAGCAAGCAAGGTTGTGTCATCTGTACAATGAAGGTTATTGATGAGTCTCCCTCCAATCCTGATGCCACATTTCTCTTCACAGAGCCCAGTTTCTCGAATAACTTGCTCAGCATACAGACTGAATAAGTATGGAGAAAGAATACAACTCTGACGTACTCCCTTCTTAATTTTAAACCATTAGAATTTCCTTGCTCTGTTCGCACTTCAGCCTCCTTCCTGGTATAGGTATAGGTTTTCCATGAGCACAATATAGTGCTCTGGGATTCTCATCCTTCTCAATGTTAGCCATAACTTGTGACCCAAACAGTCAAATGCCTTTGCATGGTCAATAAAGCATAGATAGATATCCTTCTGGTATTCTTTACTTTTAGCCAGGATCCATATAACATCAGCAATGATATCCTTGGTCACATGACCTCTTCTAAATCATGATTGAACATTTGGCAGTTCCTTATCTATATACTGTCTTAGCCATTTTTTAAGGATCCTCAGCAGTATTTTGCTTGCGTGTGATATTAATTTTATTGTTCAATAGTTTCCACCTTCTATTGGATCGCTTTTCTTGGGAATGGTAACAAATATGGACCATTTCCAATCTGTTAGACAGGCATCTGTCCTCCAAATTTCCTGAGATAGACTGGCAAGCACATCCAGGGCTGCATCTGATAACTGAAATCAATTGGTACCCCATTGATTCCCAGGGCCTTATTTTTTGCCAGTGTCTTCGATGTGGCTTCTACTTCCTTCATTACCATTGGCTCCTGCTCACATGGTACTTCCTGAAATTTTTTTGTATAAGTCAGTAGATTTTGGTACAGTGATTCTGTGTATTCTATCTTCTTTTGATGCTTTCTGGGTCATTCAACGTATTGCCTATAGCATATTTCAATATTGCAACTTAAAGTTTAAATTTGTTTTCAGTTCTCTCAATTTGAGAAATGCAGAGCGAGTCCTTCCCTTTTTATTCAATTTCAGCTCTCTGCACATTCCATTATAACGCTTTGCTTTGTCTTCTCAAGCTGGCCTTTGAAATCTTCTGTTCAGCTCTTTTATACTTTGGCATATTTTTCTTTTGATGGTCTAGTATCTCTTCTGAAATCCATTTCCATTTTTTTCTTTCTCCTCTGTCTTGATAATGACCTTTTACTTTCCTTATATATGTATGATACCCTTGATATCATCCCACAGCTCTTCTGGTCTTCAATTATTGATGGTCAGTGCTTCAGACCTATTCTTAAGATGATTTTGAAATTGAATGGAATAGATTCAAGATCATATTTTGGTTCTCAGGGGCTTATTTTCATTTCCTTCGGCTTCACTTTGAACTTGCACATGAATAATTGATGCATAACGAAGGTTATTGATGATTCTTCCTCCAATCCTGATGTCACATTCTTCTTCATAGAGTCCAGCTTCTCAAATTATTTGCTCATACAGATTAAATAGGCATGTAGAAAGGATATAAACTTGACACATACCTTTCCTAATTTTGAACTATGCAATATTCCCTTGCTCTGTTCTCACAACAGCCTCTTGGTATAGGTATAAGTTTCACATGAGCACAATTAAATGCTATGGGATTCCCATTCTTCACGATAGTAGTACTTTATTATGATAAACACAGTCAAATGCCTTTACATAGTCAATAAAGCACACATATATTTCTGGTATTATTTACTTTCAGCCAGTATCCATCAGACATCAGTTATGTCTCTGGTGCCATGGTCTCTTCTAAATACAGCTTGAACTTCTGGCAATTCTATATCTATGTACTGTTATAGTTGTTTTGGGATGATCTTCAGCAATATTTTTCTTGCATGTAATATTAATAATATTGTTTGATTATTTTTACATTCTATTGAATCGCTTTTCTTGGAAATGGGAACAAACATGAATCTCTTACAGTCAGTTGGCCAGATAGTTGTCCTCCAAATGTCCTGGCAGAGTCTGGTGAGCATGTCCAAGGCTGCATCTGTCATTTGAAACATGTCATTTGTTATCCTATGGCTTCGTGGGGCCTTATATTTTGCTAACGCCTTCAGTGCCACTTGAACTTCTTCCTTCATTACCTTTGGCTCTTGATCATATGATACTTCCTGAAATAATTCCATGCTATAAATAGCTAAAATTAGTAAATAGTAAACTGCCTTTGAAAAAAAATTAATAGTAACCTGCCTTTGAAAACCTGCTGGAGGATTACCTATGAGTCGATTCTGGCTCGAGGATACATACCAACCATAGAGAAAGTTGTGCATCAAGTCTATATTTTCTCCTCCATACCTGTTCAGTCTGTATGCTGAGCAAATCATTTGAGAAGCTGGATTTTATAAAGAATTGGAAGAAAGCTCATCAATATCCTGTGTTATGCAGATGAAACAACCTTACTTACTGAGAGTGAAGAGAACTTGAAGTATTTGATGGAGAAGATTAAACCCTTCAATAGAAATAAATATCAACATCAAGAAAACCAAAATCTTCAAAACTGGTGCAATAAACAACATCATGATAGATGGAAAAGAGGGAGAAATTGTCCACAATTTCCTCTTACTTGGGTTCCCAATCTACATCCTTGGTACCAGCAGTCAGGAAATCAAAAGGCATGTTGCATAGAAAGCCTGCTGTCAGGAATCTCTCCAACAAAATACCACAGAGCAGTGATATTAGTTTGAAGACTAAAGAGCATCTGGTCCAAACCACGGTCTTTTAAATAACTTGCTATGATGCATCTCAAGTTGAACAATAGATAGAGATGACAGAAGGAGAATTGATGCCTTTGAGTTATGGTATTAGAGTACTGAATGCTGTATGGACTGCCAAAAAACAAACAAATATTTGTTGAGCAAAGTGCAACCAGGGTGCGTTTAGAGTTCAGAATGGTAAAACTCTGACCCTCACAATTTGGGCATGTTGTTAAGAGAGATCAGTCCTTAGAAAAACACATCATTCTTTTTTATTATGAATATTACTCATTTTAATGAAAATTTACAGAGACTTTGGATTTCCATTCATTCATTGTTGCATTTTTCTCTGCTCTTTACCCTTCCCCACCCCCCAGTACACTCTCCTCTTGGAAAAGTAAAAGAAAAATTCTTTCATTGTTATACAATCCCTCCCCCAGGTCCACTATGCAGCCTTTGTTCTGGACTCCTGTCATGTCAATAATACTTAATCATATATCTCTGTTAAACAGTTCTCTCCCTCATCTTTCAATGCAGTATACATAATTTATCCCATCTTTCTCAGTCTCCCCCTAACCCTGATGTCAGTCCCATTTTACAACAGTGGACCCATGCAGTATTTGTCCTTTTGTGACTGAGACATTTCACTGAGCATAATGTCCTCCATGGCCACCCAATGAGTTCCTTGTTAGAAAAACACATCATTCTTGAAAAGGTGAAGAGTCAGGGGGAAATGGGAAGACCTTCAGTGAGATGGATTGACACAGTGACTGTAGCACTGGGATCAAGGAGAACAGAGATGATAAGGATGGCCCAGACTAGGGCATGGTTCAGGTCTATTGTTCATAGGACCACTATGACTAGTTAGCTCAATAGCACGTAACAATAGAATTATACCCATCATGGTTACGTTTCTAAATCACCAGAATTCCACCTACTTGAAACATTCTCACAACGGTTTATTACATTATCAACCATGGTTTCATCCTACTTAGATCAGATATATGCATTGCCGCTTATCTGATCTGATCTCTTGTATGACTTCAGTTCCTCATAGTCTGGCCTAACTGGTCTCTACTGTTAGCCAACTTGTAGTTAAACTCGGTGAGCACAGAGCCTTGAGTGTGTTGGATGCAAGATCTTTAAGCCATGAATATAGGTGTAATTGCAATTCTGTGCCTGCATGTGCTTTAATATGACTGTAGCAATGGAGTTGAGCATAGGGAGACCATGAGAATAGGGCAAGGATTTGATCCTGTTATCTAGAGTTGCTATGAATTGTAGTTAACACCTAACAACATATTATAGTGATTCTTTTTTTATTTCTTTAAAATATTTTTTCCATTGTTACCCATTGTATTCCACCCCCCTTCCCTCCCTCTCCCCAGCCTTGTTCATTAACTATCCACTCTTCTCCCATTCTCTTTCTCATCCCCTATAGTGATTCTTCTTGTCCTTTTTAACGATCTGGGGGGGTTGTTCTCCATTCTCTTTTCAAGGAGGAGTGCATCGTCTCGAATCTGTTGAAGAATATAATGAGCTGATGGTGAGAAATGGAGACCCCAGGATGAGGATGTTAGAGGTCTCCCGCGATGGCCGGAAGCACTCTCTGCCCCAGCTGCTGGAGTCCTCTGGAGCTGCCCAGGTGAGTCTCTTCCACAGTCAGGGCCGCTCAGGGAGGGGAGAGAGACGGCAAGCTTCCAGAACTTTGGGCTCTAAGTTTTGGTGGGGTTTTTGTTTTGTTTTTAACTTCAAAGTCTTGAAGAGCAGTGGACCAGGAGTGTTTGGGGGTTAGGACACTCTGAGAGACTTAGATCAGAAAGAGGAAGTCAGTCCAATATTTGAAAATAGTAGAGGGAAGGGAATTGAATCCCTTGTTGGATCCCAGGCCCCTGACCCCCTTCCTCTGTGTGTCTTGGAACTGAATGTTGCCCTCTGCTGCCAGGAGACGATGGCGTCTTGCAGTCTGTGGTTGAACCACCATCGTTTGTTTAATGGGAGCGTCATGTGTCAGTGCAATAGCTGTGTGGGTGGATGTGGGAATATGTGTGAGAGAAGGAAAAGGAGAGTGTGTGTGTGTGTGTGTGTGTGTGTGTGTGTGTGTGTGTGTGTGTTTGAGAGAGAGAGAGATGCTTGCTACCTGTTACACCAAGATGCCTCATACAGCCTCAGTCCTCAGTTCTGCAGAGAGAGGGTTGGTAGTTAAGGGGTATGTTGACGTTCCAGGCCCTGTCTCCACAGCTCTGAGCTCTAACCCTGATTAGGGACTGCTCCTCAGTTACACCATACCTATGCCAGTGGAAACTAGGGCAACAATCTCATGAAAATGTCTTTGAGTCCTGGTACCATTAAACCAGGCAGTTGAAGAGCCACCATTGGGACCTTGTCCCGAGATCTTCAGCGACGCAGAGGTGAAAGAAGAAGACGTGACTGCAGTCACACCCCAAGTACCAGGACATTCATAGAGTGTAGGCTTATAAAGGGTCTGAGTCTGGGCCGTGCTCTTACTTTTGGTGGGTTGTGATTGTGTAATAGTCGGGACAACTGAGTCTCAGAGAGAAAAGTATTTTGTTCAAGATGACAAGCCACAGAAATGGGAAAGAGAAGATGCACGCAGATGGCTGGTCTTGTGTCTTTAGAGGAAGCACTGCGCTGCTTCTGACCCTGTTTACCTGACCAGTATGTCCATGAGTCAAAAGCAGAGTTTTGTGACTCAAGCTGTGTTGTGTTGAACTCACCCAAAGGCAGCTCTGGAGGGGTGGCTGCTGAGGAAAACACGGCAGGAATCTCACTCAGAGTCAGGGTGAGACGAGTCCAGACCTGTTGGTGGGTCACAGCCTGTGGTAGCAGGAGTCAGGCAGCAGTCAGTCACAGGAGGGCTTCCTCACGAGAGAGACAGACGAGAGAAGTCGTACGGTCACCACCATGTGGGTGGTGCATGTTCAACGGTGACTTCTGAACTGAACCAGGGAGGACAAGTGAACGTCTTTCCAGCCCAGAACCATCTACTTGTGACCAGGATCCAAGAAGCACAGAGCAGTGAAGAAAGTGAGCATAAAGTGGGCTTGTTTTTCATCTTCAGATTATCCTTTGGCTCTACTGTCTCACCATATTTTCTACCTTTTTTTAATTTGTGGTTCTCTCTCCCTCCACTCATAGCCCTGTTGGCACAGTGGGTTAAGTATTGGGCTGCTGGCTGGAAGGTCGGATGATTTGAACTCATCCACAAGAGAAAGACGAGGCGGGCTGTAAATCTTCTTTAAAGATTTCACGGCCATGGAGACTTGATGGGTCAGTCCTCCTCCGTCCTGTATGGGTGATGGCAGTGGGGTTTGTCCTCCCTTCGCTAGAAAGTATTATGTAAAGGTAGCAAATATCATCAAGGCATCTACAACTCATGGTTACCCTGTATGTGAGAAAAGTACAACTATGATCCATAGGCATTTTCATGGCTAATTTTTTGGAAGGAGTTCACCAAGACTTTCTTCCGAGACATGCCTGGATAGATTCAACCTTCTAACCTTTTGATTTGTAGCGAGCTCTTGAACTATTTGCACCACCCGGGGACTTCTTGTCCTGGATCTCTACCAGAACTCTGTGCAGTAATGAATCTGTGCTGTACTCATACCGTGCCATCCACTGAGCTCTTAGAAAGTGCCTAGTGAGACAGCTAATGAGGCTTCCTGTTTTCCTTTTCCTTTTCTGTAGTCCAGGTGGCTAACAGCCACCATAGTAAACAGCACAAGTGTAGAGAGGGTGAGACAGACCCTTCACCTCTCCAAGATGTGAGGGAAGCACTCTCACTCTTAGTACATATGATTCCCAAAAAGGAGATGGAGTGAGATGCTGCTGGAAATTGATGATCAAAGAAATAATGTCTTTATAAATCCAAGCAGGAACCCCCTCAGCTCTAGGATTGCAAGCCCGTGGGCTATGTCCCGCATCTATGTGATGGTTTCAGTAAAGGGCAGCCACCATGCCAAGTCCACGTTGTTTCCTTGAATGACTCCGAGTCTGAGAGACCCACGCGGCTGGCAGCTCTTTCCTACAACTGGAAAGTATCCTTGTTCCAAGCTGCCAGGAACACAAAAATGTGGGCAGCCATCTCCTTTCTACCTTTGAACATAGAATACAAAACAGTAAGAATAAAAACCATTTTTTCTATCGCTTCACTGATGTTAAATTAGAATTGTTTTGTTTATGCTAGAATCACTGGATCATTTAAGAGATTTAATCGACGAGTAATTGTAAGGAGGTGGGCAGTAGAAGTGCTTCAGAAGTCCATGGTCATAATCTCCGGTTTGTGTTCTAAATGCTCACATGTGAACTGTGGATGACGGACAGGAAAGGGAGCTGGAGATTTGATTGCCGTGTGCCAGGGAGGGAGGCAGACTGTGGATGGGGTGAACGTATTTTGCTTTCCAAATGTGAAGGATTAGAACTGGGGCTGCTGCCCTCCCTCAGCAGGATGTTTTATGTGCAGTAACAACAGTTGTCTGGGTTTGTGGTTTGAGCTTGATAAGCAGCGAGAGCTTGCTGAGTTTTTCCGTGAGTGATGGAAGCTTGAAACGGTGATTCTTCCTAGCCATGATCTTGACCTTGGGTTTGAGGAGAGGGTGGCTCGCAAGCAAGAACCTGCCCACAGATGGTCATCTTATGCCCCGAAGGTCTCTTTGTGTCAGGTTCCTCCATTCCATCAGGCACAAGTCAGACCTGTGCGATGCAGGCAAGAAGAGAGAAACACGATGCCGTTAAGTCCCAGGCATTTCTTTTTCTGAAGGAGGAAAATATAACAGCCTCTAACAAGACTATATTCCAGTATTAGCCATAATGAACTTTTAAGCCATTAGAAATTGCTGTTGTTGTTGTTGTTGTTAGGTGCCATCAAATCAACTAGGATTCATAGCAACCCTCTGAACAACAGATCTGAGCATAACTCTATCTTGTGCCAGCCTCACAATCCGTCTCATGACCAAGCCCATTGTCACGGCCACTGTGCCAGTCCTGCCCCTTGAGGGTCATCTTATCTTTTGTTGACCTTCCCCGGTGATGGTCGATGACAGGCAAAGGCTTCCCCATCGCAAAAGGCCCCTGAGAGTTTCAGAGCCTGGGTGGATTTTTATGCTGGAGACCTTCTCTGACTCGCTGTGTCCTGCCTCGCAGGAATACCACATCATGAAGAAGTCCACCCGCTCGCTGAGCACCACACAGGTGGAATCCCCTTGGAGGTTCATCCGCCCGTCCGTTATCTCCATCATCGGGCTGTACAAAGAGAAAGGCAAGGTGAGGTCTCGGCGCTTTTCAGCTCCAGCTGAACGTGAGTGTGCGCTTTTTAAAAATGAGTAGCGACTTGTTACTGGTTTTACAATAGAAGCGGGATCAAGGGGAATAGAAAGCTGCCCCGCAATCAATCCCAAAGGTGCACAGTTCGAATCCGCCAGATGCTATCCTGGAGAAGGAGGGGGCAATCTCCTCCTGTGCCAGTCAGATCTGACTCAACAGTACATAAAAAGAAAAGAGATTGCACAGCTGAGGTTGTAAGCCCCTTTGACATACAGAGCAGTTTCAATAAAATATTTGCTCAGGTAAGAAAAAAAAAAAGAGAGTGAAAAAAATTTTAAAATAAAAAGAGGAATAGATTCGTGTAGGTTGCCATGCATTTGGGGGAAGTCCCTGGCGTTCTCCTGTGACTTCAGGCTGTGGGTCGGTCACACGCTGATATGAGCGGTCCCCAGCTCAGGCTGCAGTGGCCCCATAGCGTGACCGAAGGTGGACTGAATGCTACAGCGTTTACTGTCTCTTCAAAGAAAAGCAGAACCTGCCTCTTCTGGGAAAACCCTCAGGTCCCCTTTTATGTGACTGTCGTGGGAGCCCCATTATCATAAATGAAATGCTACAGTTGACAATCAGAATAAATTTTTAAATTAATGAAAAGATGGGAAAAAAATCAGTAACTTACAGAGTGTAAAATGACATGCATGAACTACTCCGTGGATTAACATGAAATGCCATTTGGAGAGTCCAACAACTGTTGAATGTGGCAATTTCATATGTTCAAAGCCAAGGCTTTCGCCTTTTGGCCTAACCCATGGCTTGTTATGTACCATCGAATCCAGAGCAGACTCATAGCTGGCCCTCCAGAAAGTTTTCAGAGGCAGAAAGTAACACGAAGGAGATTTCCCGCCTTTCTCCTGTGGAGCAGCAAACCACATGTCTTTGGGGTAGTGGCACAGCTCATTACAACTAAGCCACTGGAGCTCCCTAGTGTGTGGCTGGTGTGAGGCATAGAGTAGGGAATGAGCGGGGAATGGAGTAGGACGTGCAAGCTTGAATTTATAGCCAATTGATTAGGTTAGTTGTGAGCCTGGTTGGAGACGACACCCGCAGTTCATATACTGGGCTAACTTGGATCCCCGTCTGCTTGGCTGTAGGGCCTGGGCTTCAGCATTGCCGGAGGTCGAGACTGCATTCGAGGGCAGATGGGGATTTTTGTCAAAACCATTTTCCCAAATGGCTCAGCGGCAGAGGATGGAAGACTTAAAGAAGGTAGGAACATGCTTCTTGGGGTTCCTCTTGGCTGTGCACTTTGGGGCTGGGAGAACCCCCAGACAGGATGATGCCTGTGTGGCAGGAGTCCAGTGGACGCGGGTTGGCCCCAACACTGAGCCCCCTGAAGGCCGACATGTGCGAGAACCTGAACCAGCTGCGGACTTGAAACCTTCATCCCTCTCTGGATGAGTTATGCTGAATAAATGAGTTAGTGTAGGAAAAGGGTCTTCCTATTGTGAGTAGGCTCTTTAAATGACTCTACAAGTCTTCTTGGGTTAGTTCATTATGTGTCGGGCTGCTGGTGAAAAGATCCGTGGTTCCAACCCACCAGCTGGTCCCCAACAGAAAGCTGAGCAAGTTCCTCCTGTGAAAACTTACAGCCTCAGGAACCTGATGGAGAGTGGCCGTGGGTCGGACTCAACTCAGCGGCCCTGGTTGGGTTGGGGTTTGAGTGACCATACTGCTGTCGTGGCTCTTGATCAAGCTCCTTGCAGTGAAAATACTTGAGCATTGACAATCCAATCTCGCCTCAGCCTGGGACGGAAGCTGGATGCCTGACCATGGATAGACAGCTCCTGTTGTTGTTGTTGTTGTTATGTGCCGTCGAGTCGCTTGCGACTCATAGCGACCCTATGTACAACAGCCCTAAACTCCGCTCTGTCCTGTGCCAATCGCACTGTCTCTGACACACCCATCCCGATTATCCCAGTCACTGAATCAATCCACCTCATAGAGGGCCTTCCTCTCCTGCGCTGTCCCTCCACCCTCCCAACCATGATGTCCTGTCCCTCCACCCTCTCAAGCATGATGTCCTTCTCCAAGGACCAGTCTCTCCTCACAACATGTCCAAAGTATGCTAGACGGAGCCTCAGAATCCTTGCCTCCAAGGAGCCACCCGGTTTAACCCTTTCCAGGACAAATCTGTTTGTTTTCCTAGCAGTCCATGGTATTCTCAGTACTCTTCTCCAGCACCACAGCTCAAAGGCATCAAACTCTGCTGTTAAAATCTACCAACATGTAGTTTGGTCCCTAAATGAGCATTTTTTTTTATCTTCCTGAGCACCTACACTTTTGCCACACAGAAGTAGGTGTGAATTAAATTACCGCTGAGGTACCCCAGCTACCACAGGTACCTTCAGTATTTTGAATGAGACTGGTTCTTGGAGAAGGACATCATGCTCAGAAGGGTGGAGGGACAGCGCAGGAGAGGATGACTTCAAATGAGATGGATGAACATAGTTACTGGGGCAATGGAGGTTGGTTTGTCAGAGTCAGTGAGACTGGCTCAGGGCAGGGCCGGCTTCAGAGCTGTCGTCCATAGGGTCGCTGTGAGTTGGAGGCCACTTGATGGTACATACAACAACAACAAATGGGCCTTATATTGTATAATGCTTTTAACATTTATAAAACATTTCCACATTGGTTTAATTACAAGACTATCAGGTAAGCATTTTGAGCTGAGAGCTTTTGTTGTACATGAGAAAACTTGACACCAGGGCCTGTCCAACCCCAGCACGAACACACTCTTGGGATAGAGCAGAAGCGAAATTTAAACCCAAATCCTAGGATCCAGAGTTCTCTTCACCTTTCCTCCTTCCCACTATGATCTCACTTAATATACGGAAAGCACAGAACCCCTCTTTCTTTTTTTTTCTTCTTTTTTTTATTTTATTATTTTTGTGTGAGTGTACCATCAAATCAGATCTGACTGGTACAGGAGGAGATTGTCCCTCCTTCTCTGGCAGAGCATCTGGTGGATTCGAACCATGTGCCTCTGGGATTGTAGTTGCAGCTCCTTGCCACTAGGCCACCAGAGCTCCCCTCAAACCCCTCTTTCTTCCTCCGGCAGCTTTATCATGATAATTGGTTAAATAGAATTTGACAAGATAGAATTTCCTTTAAGCTTAAACACAGTAGCTGCTTTTAAGAGAGAATCTTTTGTAGTCATTGTTTAGCAAGAAAATCTCAAACCAGAGTGGCCTTTATGTGGTATGTCATGCTACATTGTCATTAAAGGGATTTTCCATAGAGTTGCTGTATATATATTTGTGTATGTGTGTGTTTACTATTAGGGAGTTCCCGTGGCCTAGGGGAAAGGGGCTGTGCTGCCGAGTCAAAGACAGGTGATTCGAGTCCACCAATTGCTTCATGGAAGAGCAGTGAGAAGTCTCTCCCCGGGCCATTTACAGCGTCTGAAAACCCTCTCGAGGGCCAGCTAGGAGTCGGTTCTGATTCAGTGGCTCAAAACAAACAATAACATTATTTACTATGGGATGCTGCAGCTTTGGTGGTAGAATTCTCACCTTCGTGCAGGATTCCCAGGTTCAATGCTGTCAGCGGAGGCTTGTGTATGGCTATGATGCTCAACCCATTTCCATGGAGTTCCTTGAGTAGGAAAAAAAAGGACTAGCCATCTACCCCCCCCCCAAATTAGCCAAGGGATTTCATGTGAACTATGAAGAGTATTGTCTAATCTCTAACTTACAGACCCTGACTTAGTCTTTAAATGGAAAAGAGTAAACTCAGTCAGTCCCTGATTTCAGGCAGAGGCGCTGGGAGAAATCCAAACGCATATGGGAAGATGTGAGCAGGTTTACTGCTTCCCCGGCTGAGGATTCCTGGCTCGCCCCTCATGCAGGGTGAGCTTCACAGAAGGTGCTGGTGCCTCGTGCCAGAATAATGCAAAACCCCAGCAGAGCATTTTTATAATGATTGTGCCATGTATTCACTTGATTGGAACTCTCCTGCACCACTGGGAGAATCTGCGAAAGGACAGGAAACCCCAACAGTTAGGAAAGGTTCAGCATGCTTGACCCTCCTAATGACTCCTTTTTCAGATGTGTCATTTCCAAGAAATGTCAATGGATGGATTTTAAATCTGTTGGATGGTGTAGCCAAGGCTTCTAGGAAGTTTCTATGCCTCACTGCTTTCCCCATGTAGAAGCAGACCAAGAACATACATTTGCTCAGCTGTTGAGTGATTGATGATGCCAGGTGATTTGCAAGAAGATATTTTTCCCCCTTCTCTTATGTTACTACTTCTGCAATCACGTGAAGGAGGAAACATACAACAAGGGCATGAGGAGCGAGGGGCATTCTTGCCGCTCACCTGCCCGATAGGGAGATGGGTTCATAGTTCGAGTTGCATAGTCTGTTTTAACCAACCACACGCTGTGCTGGTGGGATTGGCCGTTGATGGAAAGACGGGATGGTGTCTGTCCTTCTGCTCTCGGCACTTTGTTGGAGATGTATGAAGTCTCACTTCTCTTCAGCCCTGCTGTGCAGATGACACTCACTCTTCTGTGACATCTCTGTAGAGTTTTTGATGAACTGTTTGCTGAAAAAGAACCCTTGTCCCTAGAAGACAGATCAAAAATGAGCTCCAGTAAGTCAGCAGGCTGCTCAGGTTCTTGTCTATTCCCAGAAGACTTTTTCTACAGCTTGAAAAATGACCTGATTAGACTTTCTTAGAGTTCAATGTGGGTCCAGCAGAGAGAGAGGGGGACTGAGAGAGTGAGCAATTTTGAGACATTCCAGCCAGCCAGCCATTTGCCCTCAAGTCAACAGTAGCTCGAGATGACCCCATCTGTGTCAGAGGAGAGCTACCCTCCAGAGGATCTTCACAGCTGATAAAGTGTAGCTGCCAATCACCAGACCTTTCTTGTGATGGGAGGAAAGGATGGGCAGCCTCTCATGCAGAGCTACAGCGCAGAAACCCAGTGAATGGTGTCTGTGAGTCATACCACTTCATGGCATTGTGTTTGGGGTTGGCTTCTTTGTGTGTTGTGGGTTTTGCTTTTGCTACCCAGAGACTACGAATTTGAGATGTAGTTAATATTGCTGTGTGCCATTAAGTCAATTTCAACTCATATGAGCTTTGTAGGACACAGAGGAGCTGCCCTATGCAATCAATGACCTTTATGGGAGCAGGTCACCTGGTCTTTTTTTTCAGGAAGTTGCTGATGGGCTCAAACCACTGACGTTTCCATTAACAGCCAAGTGTCCGACCATTGCGACACCAGAGTTCTCTACAATAATCTCTTCTGCAGGAGAAGCCCATAGTAACTTCCCAGCATAAGGTCTGATAGTGTCAAAAGACCAAGACACATGGGCTATTTCTGGGGGTGGGGTTGCCCAGCCCCCGTGATCTCATAGCAAAATTCTTATCTCTGTCTTTGAAACCGATTTCCATTCACCATGTGAATGTCTGGCCAGGCTCAGGCAGCTTGTGTTTCTTCAAATCCAGGAGTGACAGCTGCTCAGATGCTGCATGTCTTCATGCTTCGTTGGATTTAAGCCTTTTTCACAATGACCATGAAAGAAAGCCTTGCTTTTGAAATGTAGAGTCTGTCTTGTCAAATGTGGCAGTGGCTAAAGAGGAAAACCTTAATGCTTCCTGGAGTTGATTTCATCAAAGACTGAAATGTAGAATTGCTTTTACAGAATACGCATTGTAATTAATTGTCCTTTTGGTGACATGCCTGGGAGTATGAGTAATGAAGGTAGATTGAGACAAGAAAAGCTGTTTTGTAGAACCGGAACGCAGGGACCCTGTGAGAGCTTGCAGAAGAAGGGCGGGTCATCTCCTCCTGTGCAATTGCTGCCTCTGCAAACCTGCTGGAGGGTCAGCTATGAGTGGATTCTGACTTGATGACAAATGACAACATGAGAGCTTATCCTGGTGTGGACCATGCAGTCGTTAAATGCCATTTAGTCCTCATAGCGAGCCTCTGAACTACAGACCTGAACTTTATCCTGTCCTGCACCATTGTCCCAGTCTCTGCCCTGCTGAAACCCATTGTTGCAGTCACTGTGTCTTCTAGTCTATATAACTGAGGGTCATCCTCGCCTTTGATGACCCTCACCTTCCTCACCATGATGTGTTTTTCCAAGGATTGGCCCCTCTTAACAACATACCCAAAGTATGTGAGACCAGGAAGCTAGATGCCAATAAATTCAAGCTTGATGCTAATGTAATTCTCATCTTTGGTTACCAGGGGATGAAATCCTAGATGTAAATGGAATACCGATAAAAGGCTTGACATTTCAAGAAGCCATACATACCTTTAAGGTAACATCATTCTTGCTGGTCTTCTCTCTCCTCTTTCTTTACCCCTCCTTTATTTCCTTCTGGCTTTGGTAAGATATTTAAGTGCAACTTTCTTCTTGTTTTCTCAGCAAATCCGAAGTGGATTGTTCGTATTAACTGTCCGCACAAAGTTATTGAGCCCAAGCCTCACGCCCTGCTCGACGCCCACACACATGAGCCGATCCAGCTCCCCAAACTTCAATGCCAGTGGGGGAACCTTGGCAGCAGGCTCTGAAGAAAGTAGTTCTTCGTCCTTGGGCCGGAAGACGCCTGGGCCCAAGGACAGGATTGTCATGGAAGTAACCCTCAACAAAGGTGACACGAGCTAGTCCTCGCTTGCACGTTCTTGACTGGCAGCTTGTAAACTCTTATTATGTTCTTTTTATTTTTTTCCTATATAATTTTTCTATGAATTATGCCTTTGGAACCATCTTTGGAAAACATGATATTCCTTTAAGTGGACAGTGTGACATAAAAAGCAGAGATCTGAATCATTGTGCAAAAGTGAAGGGTGATTACCAGCAATGCAAAGGTCTTTAGACTCTTGCCCAGATGGATCATTATGGGTCAGAGACTTGTGTTTAAGGAAATCCAAAATCACTGGATAATTAAATCTAAGACAAATGCAAATTTGTAAAGGTGGTTTTTGAGGGGGGGAAAAACCTATTATAGTGCACTTTTGGTTGCAAATTTGAGACTATAGTTTATACCAGTAACTAAAGTCATATTGTTGTTAGCGGCCCTTGAGGGGGTTCTGAATCCTAGGGTCTTTGTTTGCAACAGAAACAGAGAGAAAAACCCAGCCTGAACCTGGCCCTCACCATCTCTGTTGTGCTTAGATCCATTGTTGGACCATCTTGTTGAAGGTCTTCCTTTTCCACTGACCCTCCGTTTACAAAAGTCCTAACTGATTGTCAAATCTTACTGGTTTTCATCTGTTTCTTCTCCCCCCATCTACTGCAGCAAAGTAATGAGCACACAAATAAATAAGATATTGGTTGCTAGACAGAGAAGTAAAAGACAGTCTTAAGTTTTATATATAGGTAGTAACTAGGTAGTAGGCTCTGTCCATTCCCAAAACCAAATTTGAGGACGGTCCTAGCCTAAGCAGGAAAAATACCTTTGGAGGATTGAGTCCATAGTTACCTCTGTTCCATCTGTGGCCTCACATTATTAACAGAATATTGCAGTAGTGACCAAGTAAAGCTGGACAGGTATTGCAATTAAAAATTATAATAGGTTGCACACCCATTTTTATTGTGGCTTTGTTCACAATAGCAAAGAGCTGAAAACAACCCAAGTGCCAATCAACAAATGAATGGATAGAGAAGCTCTGGTATATTCACACAATGGAATACTATGCAGCATTGAAAAACAAGGAACTCATGAAATATGCCAAATGGGTGACCTTGGAGGACATTATGCTGAATGAAATATCTCAGTAACAAAAGGACAAATATTGCATAGGGTCACTGTTGTAAAATAGGACTGACATCAGAGTTAAGGGAAGACAGAAAAGGAGGGGAGGAATGATGTATACTGCATTGAAACAGATGAGGGAGAGAACTGTTTAAAAGGGATATATGAATGGGTATTCTTGTCATTACATAAGTCCAGAGTGAAGGCTGCATAGTGGAGTGGACTTGGGGGGCAGGGGAGGGTGGGCATTGCATACAATGAAAGAGTTTTTCTTTTCAAGAAGAATGAATTGCGGGAGAGGGGGTGGGTAGGGAGAAAAGCATAACAATGAATAACTAGAAATCCTAAGTCTCTGTAAACTTACATTAAAATTACTTTAAAAAAAAAGAAATTCTAATTGGTGAAGATTAGCAGGTCCCAGTCTGTTCTGTAAATTCTAATCAGTTCTTTCCCGGTCATGGTGTGATTTTCAGTTTTGTTTTCTTACATGGCGCCTCCCACAGAGCCAAGGGTTGGACTCGGCATCGGTGCCTGCTGCCTGGCTCTAGAGAACAGTCCTCCAGGAATCTACATTCACAGCCTTGCCCCGGGATCCGTAGCCAAGATGGAGAGCAACCTGAGGTTCGTTGACATCTACTAGTTCAAGGTTCTGCTGGGCTAGTAAATTAGTGAGTAGACTATGTAAGCTTTCTGCGCTACATAGTCCTTCGTGGGACCTAGATCTTTGTATTACTTATAATAATGTAGCTGGGATTATAATTAAGAGCATCCCCCAAAAAGGAAAAACCTAATAAAAATGAAATTTGGTTTTGTTGGGAACTAGAAAACTGCATTTTGAATTAAAATAGTACTCCACTCCTAACAATTTTGTTCTCTTTGAACTTGGACACTGCATTTCAGAAACTGGAAGAATGCAAATATTGTCTTTACTTTCATATTAATTTATGACAGATTCATATGAGCTACTGGAAAGTGCTCATAAGGACTCAGTCATTGGGTTCAAGGGTCTGGAAAACATGCCCTTGAATGGTGTGATTCTTACTTACTATATATAATCTCTTGAGCCTTTCCTGTTTTCATTTCTTGCTGTGCCGTGATGTCCAGTTGCCTAAACTCACTGGGTGTCCCATTTCTCAATCCTGACTGTTGTAGCATCTGTGAGTCATGAGAGAATTTTGATTATGCGGGAGATGGATCAGACTACTACAAAAAGAATCATTGCCGTTTATACCCACCTAAGCCTCACAAAAATGCATCTGTGCTGCACAAAGTGCCCTCTACAAACAGTATCACGTTGCTGCTCTCTGAGTTACTTAGTTCTGGAGCCGATGAGGAATTGTCAGAATGCTGTTCCTTGAAGTTACCATGTTTGAGCTCAGTTAATAGATTATATTACATTTTAGTTAATCATCAGAGTGTATTTTCATAAGGGGGGAAATTAGCAAATCATCCAAAGTACATTAAAGAAAATATACTTTTAGAGCCCAAGGAAAAAAAAAATCCTTTAATGACATCCCAAAATGATGTTTCTTTCTTGAATGGTTCCATATGTCTGGAGTCTGCCAAATGAACATTCTTCAAGCCCCATATAAAGAGGCTTTGTTCTCCCACACTGAGTTCTCTCCCTGTAATTTCAAGTTAAAATGGGCAGCTTGTCCTCAATTTCTTATTTGTTCAAATTTGAAACAAATTCTTGAGTAACCTTTGAGCTTCAGATATTTCCTCCTGAACTTATATTACAACAGCCAGTTCAAATGGTAGAAATGAAGAAATTGATGGTGGTCGAGGGGGTATCACATCAATGATGAGAATATCAAGAGTCAGGTAGATGGGATGTCAATAGTATGTGACAGCTGGTTGGCCTCTTTGAGCCCATAGTCTTATCTCCATAATGACAATAATAGCATGTACTAAAAGCACTATCCTGCTTAGCATGGTACTTGACATACAGTACGTGCTTAAGAAATTATATCCTTCATTGTTTGTTGTTGTATATAGATAGGGTGTCTAGAAGAGAAGGACATCATATTTGGAAGGGTGGAGGGACAGCACAGGAGAAAAACCCATTTGAGATGGATTGATATAGTAATTAGGGCATTGGGGATTGGTGTGTAGGAATCGGTGAGACTGGCTCAGGACAGGACAGGCTTCAGAGCTGCCTGTACATAGGGTCGCTATGAGTTGCAGGCAATTTGACAGGATATAACATCGAGAAGTCAGTATTGACTCATTGGCACCTAACATTCCTGAAGTATGGATAGATACACATAAGGGCTTTGCCAGTTTAGAATCCTATTTGTTTTCACGAGTTGTTTTTTACAGTTGGGTTTTTTTACAGTTTTGCAAATATGAAGCAATGTCATAGGTTGACTTCCTGCTAGGATTTTGCTTTTCTATCCCAGGTATACTAAATCAAAATCTATACCTGATACTAAGAATCATCCGAGGATCGTGTTAAAATACAGATTCAGAATCGGTATATCTGGGGTGGAAATGCAAGTTCTCAGCAGGGAATTAAACCAGAAGGAACCCATTTGAAGGCCTGTTTGCTGCTTAAATATATTTGGAAAATAAATGTCTCCCAGATGGAAATCTTATACAAGCTGATTCTTACCAGAATGTTGGTTATGTTGCCCTTAGCCGCGGAGATCAAATCCTGGAAGTGAACTCAGTCAACGTTCGCCATGCTGCTTTGAGCAAAGTCCACGCCATCTTGAGCAAATGCCCCCCGGGGCCCGTGCGCCTTGTCATCGGCCGTCACCCGAATCCAAAGGTGAACGATTTCATACTGTTCTGAGTATGAGGAAGTGGTCTGGTTGTTTATCCAGTCACAAAGTTGCTTCTAGGCTGGCCCCACAGCACACATTCCCAAGGTCACTCATCCTCGGGTGGGACAGGTTACCCAGCTGGGGATGGAGGCTCAACTTGTGACCCCAGAGTAGCCAAGGGAACTGCTACCCCTGGGAAATAAGCCCTTGACCTTGACTTCTTCCTCTTAGAAAGTGAAAATCCTGTTTTTACAATGTTGTGATCAAATTTAATGTTGAGGTGGTGGAAGGTAAGAGTAATGGGTTCTAAGGAGCTCAAGTGTTTGATCTCTGGTGAGGTACCTAACCTGTCTGGGTTAATGTACCAGGAAAATATGACAGTGTTGAACTAGACGATCCCTATCAACCTATTCATTTTAAGATAATACTGATCTCTCTCTTTCTCTTCTATATATTCTGTTGTGTGTCCACATGTTAGAAATGACCTTTAAGTTTAAATCTAAGTACTAAGTAAATTGTTAAAACAGTCGGTGAATTAAAAAAAAAAAGTCAGTGAATTTCCAGCTCTTTTCTTCAAGTAAGAAATAAGACTGAATCAAGATTGAAATAGTATAAAAATAAATTCTGCACTAGATAAAAGATCACTATACTTTAAACTTGATTAATAATCTCAATTCACATAAATTAGTGACTATCTTTGCATTTCTGTAGAATTTTTAAAATGATAACTTTTTCAGACACTTAAAGGGAAAATAAATGTCTGTTTTTGAGGAGTTTCTTTTGTAATGTTAATTTAGCTGGATTTTTAGATTTTCATTTTTTTAGTCAAAAATACCTACTTATAAAGTGACTCTTCTAATACAATTTGAATAAATGAAAATAGAATGAAACTTGGTTTTACAAACTAATTGGGGGGTTTTTGTCCTAAGAGAGTATCAGGCATCAGGACTATAGAACTAAGAAACTGTCCTTTCCTACAAGCCTATGTCATACAGATTGTCAACTGTTACAATAAGGACCCTCTGATGGGGCTGGGCAACACCTCACATGCCCACACTACATAGAGGAGTCAGAATTTATCTTTACTCAAAAGAACATTGCAACTGCTTATATACCACCAGTCCTCCCATGTTCACTCAAAGAACCTACAATTTAGCAACCCAAACCCAAACCCACTACTTTCAAGGCAGTTCTGAATCATAGCTACCCTAAAAGGCAAAGTTGAACTGCCCCACCGAGCTTCTAAGACTTTATAATCTTTATAGAAACAGATTGCCACATCTTTCTCTCACAGAGTTACTGATGGATTTAAACCACTGGCCATTTAGCAGCCAAATGCTTTAACTACTGTACTGACAGGGCCCTTCAATCTAATACAAAGATTCTTATTATTACTGGTTCTTTTTATTGTTATTAAAAATATGTGTAGGAAAACATACACCAATTAGACAATTTCTGTATGTACAACTCAGTGACATTCATCAAGGTGTGCAACTATTCTTGCCCTCCTTTTCCAGATGATCTCCTCCATTGTTATTATAAACTGACTATCCACAAAGCTTACTGTCTAACCTTACAAGTTGGTGCTGTCTGCTTGATTGCAGATAGTTCTTTAAAAGAGCACAAGGCTCAAGGCAGATAGTCTTTACTAATGAAACTAAACTTCTGTATGACAAAAAGAAGCATTGTTTGGTTTTAAGAAGACTTATAGAGCAATAACTTTATAAATTATTACGTAACTTGGGAGGGACTGGAGAGCATTTTGCTCAGTGAACTAACTGAGTCCCACAAGGATAAATATTGTATAAGACCTTTATTGTAGAATGAGTATAAGGATCCAGGAGGGGTGGGAGAGGCTGGAAGCAGAGGGATGTGGATGTACAGGGGGAAGAGGGGATTAATCATTGGGTTGTACAATTTGTTGGGTGAGGGGGTGAGGGAAATCGAAAGAATTTGTTCAAATTTGTATTAGAATTTTGTAAATAAACTAATGAAAAGGAAAAAAAAATAAGACTTCTAGGTATGGTTTTGGTTTAAGGTTTAGAGATTCTCTCAGACCAATTGTTTCAAGGGTTTATACAGCCCCGATGTCTCCAGAAAGTCTTCTAAGATTTAACAAGAATTTTAAATTCTGTTCTGCATTATTCCTCCTTTTGACAATAGTTTTTCTATAGAATCTTTGATCAAAATAATGCAAGGGTTCTTAACTTGAAGTCCATGAATTTTAGAGGGGAGCTTAATGGAGTATGCAAATGAAGGGTGTATTTGCATTTACTTCTTTTTTTTAATTTTTTTATTTTTTAATTTTTTCTTTTTTATTAATTTTAATAAACATTTACAGAGATTTTGGATTTCCATTCATTCATTGCCGCACTTTTCTCCCTGCCCACCTCTCCCCATCAGTTCCCCCCCTCCGAAAAGAATAAGAAAAAAAAATTCCTTCATTGACACCATAGTATTTCATTGTGTGGATATACCAGAGCTTCTCTATCCATTCATTTGTTGATGGGCACTTGGGTTGTTTCCAGCTCTTTGCTTTTGTGAACAAAGCCCCAATAAACATGGGTGTGTATGACAGTGGTGCATTTTATCCCTAAAACATCAGTATGAGCATCATTTAAAACTCGTTGCCAGTGAATTCAGAACTGACTATCAGCTGACTCATAACTGGTTCTCTGAGACTGTAAATCACACAGGAGGAGATTGTCCATCTTTCTCTGTGGAGATATTGATAGATTCTGACCTCTAGAGAGATACTACCTCTGGGTGAGATTCTACGGACTATGTTACCAAGACTCCTTCATGTAAAACTAGTCACTTTAAAGTACTTGTGATATAATTTTCATACTTGTAGGAAAGTTGTGTGAATAATACAAATTCCCTTGACCCTTACTCAGATTCTCAGAGTTAATATTTCACTACTCTTGTTACATGTTAAGTGGCCTGCAACTCATAGCAACCCTATGCACAACAGCTCTGAACTCTGCCCTATCCTGAGCCAGTTTCACTATCTCTGACACACCTGCCCCATTACCCCAGTTACTGTGTCAATCCATCTCATCCAGGGTCTTGTTCTCTTGCTCTGTCCTTCCATCCTTCCAACATGATGAGTTTCTCTAAGGATTGGTCCCTCCTAGCAACATGCCCAAATTATGTCAGCCAGACTTCACAATCCTTGCCTCTAAGGAGCAACTTGGTTTTCCCCTCTTCAGGACAGACCTGTTTGTTCTCTTGGCATTCCATGGTATATTCAATACTCTTCTCCAGCACCACAACTTAAAGGTGTCAGTTCTT